CGGCCCACGACTCCCACCTTTTCTCCCCCTTTGAAGCAAACATTGATATCTTTGAGCACTTTATGCGGCGATTCGTTGTATTGAAGACTCATATCTTTGAACACTATTTCTCCCATTTGTGGCCAATCTTTGGGTGGTTTCCGATCGGGAGAGGACTCGAGCTCTGCCTCGGGTTTAATAACAGTATAGTCGAGCACTCGCTCGACAGAAGTCATATAGGACTCCATAATGGCAGATGAATTAGTAATTTCTTGAATCATACTAACCATCGATAATCCTTTATAAACATCATTATTATAATACAGTGCAACTTCTCTTGGATGAACACCTTTTCATAATGAAAGGTTTTAAAATTTATGTTGGATTTTCTATACTTATAATGTTAAAATAACCTCTCTTGCTTGAACTTCTCCATTATGAACGGATTTATATAGATTTTAATAAAACTTTCACTCCCAATAATGAACAAAATAGTTTCTAATCTAAGACTTTAAGCAAACAAAATCACATTTTTATATCAAGTTTCATTCAATATTATATTCATTCTTTGATTAGTAAACTTTAAATTATTACTTTATATCTAGAGACGCATCCAATGCTCAAATATTTGAACAATTGGACAAAATTACAACTAAAGCATTTAATTGTCACTTAAATATATTATAGCTAAACAAACTAAAATTACTGATTATTTTTAATAATTGCTATTATTTATAAATATTCATCAAAAATAAGACATTTGTACTTGGAACTTCCCTTGGATGAATCCTCCCTATAATTAACACTTTTGTCGTGCAACTGGCAACAGAAGTTGCACTGTATTAATATTTTGTAATAATCAAAACATTATTATAATTATACCTGAAGTTAGCAAAAGTCCAGCATTTTCTCCGTTAATATCTTATAAATAACAAATAAAATTAAATCTAATTTTAAATTAATTAATTATAAACATACGGTCACTACTGATTATAATATATGCGATAACTACGCTATAATATAGTATACAAATGGTGTCCATTAAGACTGCAAGTGATCCTGAAGTGCAGAGGTATAAGAAAGAAGTAGAGGTGTTGTCGTTTTGGTGGACTTCAAACTGACGCTCAAACATATGCTGTGCGCCAAACGCACGGATCGATGTCAGCCCACACAGCGTTGTGTTCACGTGAGAGTACACCGGACTCCGGGCTATGCATTAAATGAGAAATAATTATATTTAATAATTTATAGTTAATTGATGTAAACTTACACAACCCTTCCATACGTTTGATATCCCGCGCGGCTTTGATATAAAAATAGCGACAAATAAACACTAATATTAACAAAAGTATTGCCGGAAATATCAGAAACCAATTGATGATTGAATTCAATATAAGACATCCGATGACAAAACATGTGTCCTAAACATAATTAATAAACAATTTGTATTTAATTATTATTTATAATTATTACAATAATGCATTCAAAAGCAACGGATGGCAGCAATTCATCCATAATTCCCGTGTCTTTTGAAAACCTATTAAGTATTCGCCCTAAAGGTTGAGAAAAAAATTAATTTACTTTAATATATCATTAAATAATAGCAAATAGTAAATATCGTTACCGATGGGCGAACTCTCGAACAGATGTATCGGTGATCGCAATAATGCAGAGAATATTCGGTTATAGAGATTAACCGAAGATCTCATACACATTATGTAGAAACAAATGGTGGACAACAGGGCCGACACAAACAGACCAATCATAAGACTCGTGTAGATAAGTGTGTTGAATGTCTTATCAACTTCTTCTGTGGTTTTGTTTATTTTAGTAATCCTAATATTTTGAGTTAAATTACTGTATAACTTTGTATTGATATTAATAGTACTGACCATAAGCTCAACCAATAAACACATCCCTGATAGAAGACTTGCGAAGTAGTTAAAAACAAAATGGTAAGAATAACGAGCAGAGGTCCGGCGCCGGCTTTAATGTACGCCATATATACATTAGTCTCAACGGATCCAATCATTTTGCTTTCGGCCTTCACTTCCTGTTCGTCCACTTCTATCGGTTCCCAAACGTCCGTCACTTCCGATCCCTCACTAATGGTTGAGGCCATCGATGGTGTGAGAGATGTCCTCCTTTTCATATCTCTGCTATCATTTGGTCCATCGGTTTGTCTCTGATATGCCATGAGATCAATGCCGCGCTCTTTGAGCTGAGTGTAGGACCCGATGGCCACACACTCGCCGTCGTTGAGCACAAGTATTTGATGCGCGTCNAATGCCGCGCTCTTTGAGCTGAGTGTAGGACCCGATGGCCACACACTCGCCGTCGTTGAGCACAAGTATTTGATGCGCGTCTTTGAGAAACTGAATTTGATGGGTCACTAAAACCCTTACCTTGTTTTTCAGGTACTCAACACAACATCTAATAAATAATTAAAGCATTAAATTATTCGTTATGTAATGAATAACCTATACTTTTGGAAGAGGTGTTTGGCCACATGTGAGTCGACAGCACTCAAGGGGTCGTCCAAGAGGTAAATGTCTGCCGAGTGGTACAGAGCCCGGGCCAGACTCAGCCTAGCCTTCTGTCCGCCACTCAAAGCCAGCCCTCTCTCCCCCACAAGTGTTTTGTCCCCAAATGGCATGAGTTTGAAATCTGTGTCCAAAGCGCACGCCTTCACCACTCGATTGTATTTCTCTTCATTATATT